ATTAGAATATTACTGAAGACCAATAAAAACAAAGGATTTATAGAAATGTTGGCCAACTGAAAAGTATGAACATGAAAAGTATGAGCATGTACAGCACTCAGTATTTAGTTGGGCCTCCTTTGGCCTGTATTACTGCAGCAATGCGGCGTGGCATGGAGTCGATCAGTCTGTGGCACTGCTCAGGTGTTATGATAGCCCAGGTTGCTCTAATAGTGGCTTTTAGCTCTTCTGAATTGTTGGGTCTGGTGTATTGCATCTTCTTCTTCACAATACCCCATAGATTTTCTATGGGGTTAAGGTCAGGAGAGTTTGCTGGCCAATTAAGAACAGGGATACCATGGTCCTTCAACCAGGTACTGGTAGCTTTGGCACTGTGTGCAGGTGCCAAGTCCTGTTGGAAAATGAAATCTGCATCTCCAAAAAGTTGGTCAGCTGCAGGAAGCATGAAGTGCTCTAAAACTTCCTGGTATGTGGCTGCGTTGACCCTGGACCTCAGAAAACACAATGGACCAACACCAGCAGATGACATGGCACCCCAAACCATCACTGACTGTGGAAACTTTACACTGGACTTCAAGCAACGTGGATGAAGTGCCTCTCTTCTTTTCCTCCAGACTCTGGGACCTTGATTTCCAAAGGAAATGCAAAATTTACTTTCATCAGAGAACATGACTTTGGACCACTCACCAGCAGTCCAGTCCTGTTTCTCTTTAGACGCTTCTGACGCTGTCTGTGGTTCAAGAGTGGCTTGACACAAGGAATGCGACAGCAGAAACCCATGTCTTTCATACGTCTGTGTGTGGTGGTTCTTGAAGCACTCACTCCAGCTGCAGTCCACTCTTTGTGAATCTCCCCCACATTTTTGAAGGCGTTTTGTTTCACAATCCTCTCCAGGGTGCGGTTATCTCTCTTGCTTGTACACTTTTTTCGACCACATCTTTTCCTTCCCTTCGCCTCTCTATTAATGTGCTTGGACACTGAGCTCTGTGAACAGCCAGCCTCTTTAGCGATGACCTTTTGTGTCTTGCCCTCCTTGTGCAAGGTGTCGATGGTCGTCTTTTGGACAACTGTCAAGTCAGCAGTCTTCCCCATGATTGTGTAGCCTATAGAACTAGACTGAAAGACCATTTAAAGGCTTTTGCAGGTGGTTTGAGTTAATTAGCTGATTAGAGTGTGGTACCAGGGGCCATCAATTTTGAACCTTTTCACAATATTCTAATTTTCTGATATGATGAATTTGAGATTTTCATTTGTTGTCATTTGTAATCATCAAAATTAAACAAAATAAACATCTGAAATATATGAGTTTGTATGTAATGTATGAATATAATATACAAGTTTCACTTTTTAAATGGAATTACTGAAATCAATCTACTTTTTCATGATATTCTAATTTTATGACCAGCACCTGTAATGTGCTTGTCTGAAGTACGTCCACCCCATCCCTTAGAAATAAAAGAAATCGACCCATGTGGTGTTATACCAATAAGGTATTTCATAGTGTGTCTTCCTTTGTACCGGGAGAAGGATTGTGCACGTGCTTTTAAATTTGAGGGTCTTTCTGTGCCTAATTCAAAACAATCAACAATAATTGCTACACGTTTTCCAAATGTTTCCAAAAACTGAGGAGGCATTGTGGCTTGTAAACAATGCCTCTCAGGCCAGCTTACCATGGGCTTAAGGCGTGCATACAACACATCAAGGGTGTCAGCAAAGACAGTCGACAGAGTTTTGTGTGACACACTGAAAAGATGGCAAAGATGCAGAACAGGTAAATCAAGTCTTAGACGCATTAGTGTAAGTACAACCATTTGAAACTGTGAAATCTTTTTTGATTCTGACAGAAAAGGCCTAATAGTGTTAAACAATGATAATAAAATGACAAAGCAAGGAAGTCCTGTATAATATTTTACTTTTTTTGTGTCATCCTTAAAAAAATCTGTGTCCAGCTGTTTTTTATTCAGCTCTGACCTGAGCTTCCTGTTCTCCTGTAACAAACGATTTATTTCTTCTCTTCTCTCTTCACACAAGTGACATTCGATTTGTTGCCTTTTTGATGCTAAATCATGTTCCTCGTCAGAGTCTGCAGCCTTGCTGAGCTCCTCTCCTGGGGTTTCCTCCACAGCCTCTCGAACTCGCTCCTCTTCCATTGCCTCAACTACTGTGTTTTGTTTGACCTCTTCTGGTGTTTCTGATGCAATCTCTGTAACTTGCTCCGGTTCTTGTTTTTCTACCATGGTCTTTGCTGCCTGGCCTTCAACTGCGCTGCTGTATCGCCTCTTTAAACAACGCACATGTCGGTCCGATGTTGTGGCGTTTATCTCGCAGTGACCCATATTTAGCGTTGGAACCCAGTCTGGATTGAGCTCATCCATTTCGTATGACGGCTTGCCTTTAAGAGAACAAATCGGAACACACATCAGTCTTAATACTGTGAATTATAACACTAGAAAACTTAAATAGTTTACTTGACAATAGTGGAATAACCCCGATGTCCACTAACAAAACTCGCTACTTATATTAGCCTGATCTACTTAACTCGACATAAACTGAACACAAGTACACCCGGGAAAAAATCATAGCAAAAAAATAATGACATAAAAACAAAGCGAATTTAGACACTCACCAGAATGGAAATGTCTGGAGCAAACTCGTAGGTTTCTTGAGATGTTGGAGAAGGTAATATCAGAACGTCTTACCGCTGATACCCAGGCCATTCGTCGCCTTTTTGTTAGCTCAGATACCTTAGCCCCCTCGCGTTGTTTCCAGGCAGGAAAAGTGTAAAATGAAAGTCCATTTTCTATCTTTGTACAGCTGCGGTCACGTGACCTAACATTACACCCAATAACACAGCAAGTTCGAACCATTGCTAACTTAGATTCTAAAAATCTGCGAGAATGTCGAGATATTGCTTTTGCCAGTTACGTTTGTGGACCCCTAAGATGGTGCCGGTGCTCCTCCTACTAGGGAAGTGACGTCACACTCCAAAGCTCTATTGAATTCATGGTAATGGGTATTTAACGACATTACAATTAGTGGAAAAAACTGAAGGGTGGAATATTAAAAAAAAGTCTAATCAACCTAAACTTTTGGACCCCCATGCAGTACTTCCGTGGACCCTCTAAGGGTTGCAGACCCCCTCTTGAAGACCTCCGTCTTAACTTCTGCCCATTGGTTGGTTAGCATTTAACTGCATCGGTTGCATCTACAAGAGACGAGATTCTGAGGTCACTGGCCGTTTCTCAATTCATAACAACGCGAGTACGGACTAGCGTCTTCGCCAAGTTACGTTAAGAAGAGGGGCCGCTTCCTCGTGATCCTGAAAAACTATATTGTCGACATCTGTGTCCATGTGTGCCTCTAGCTGAAACACTCGTTCTTTTGGAGCGTCCAAACGAAAAATAATAAAGTCAAAACTTATAACGTTAGCATTGATTTTAAAAAAAAAGTTACTCAATGCCTCAGCTCACAGATAACTTAAACGTAGGGTAGCCATCTTTGTTGTGACTGGCCGGTGGCATGTACATTCGGCCGATGCAGTAAAATTCTAACCCGCCAATGGGCAGAAGTTGACCCTCTAAGACACAGCCCTTCGTCATTTGCATAATGAGGCAGAAATGCATAATAAAATAGGATATAAATAGGTAAACAAAAATACAAAGGAAGAATAAAACAGACAAAAAAATAACATGCAAATAAATAAGGTAATTATTACAAAGGTGAATAAATGAAGAAGATAATTAAGAGATATATACATTTATGTCTCACTGTATAATTTAATTTCTACCTACATTAATTTGTTTTTTTGTATTTTGGGGGGCAATTAATTGTACGCTTGTTTTTTTATTTAGCATTTATTTATTTCTGTATTTATTTTTAAATGTGGTAGAGCTGGCACATGGAATAATCAATCTTTTTGTTCCAGTGATCAACTGTGTTAAGAAAAGTTTGAGTTGGTTTTAACAAAACAAAACAGCTTTCATGTTCCAATAAAATGCCACCCAACAACTTTTGCATTTGCATCTTCATTTTTTATTTTTATTTTACCAGGCAATAAGGAATTGAGTGTTAAAAGCAGAAAGGATAAAAAAACAGAACACTGGAATCAGCTTATACAGTATTTTAAATTAGGAAGCTGAGGCAGAGGCATTTCTTGCAAGAAATAAGGTTCAAATTTATTTAACGTCCTCAGACGGAGAGATAGGCTCTGACTGAGGCATTTCAGTACATACATTTATACCTTACAAAATCACACACACTCCCCCCAGGGGAATGAACCCACCCCCTGCATAAAGAACTTTCTCACATTTGAATATTTGGAGGAAAAACAACTTTAGTCCATCAAGGCCGTTCACTGTTAGGTTAATATATCTTCCGCTGGCCGGATGGATCTCCTCAAAACAACAGTCCTCCCCTTCATGCCATGAGCTGTAACTCATTCCTATCTCTCATAACCTTCTTTTGGAGCCTGTGAGGCTAAGAACAGAAATATTTCAACATTTTTTACACCACAAGTAACAGTGATCATATTTCCTCAAACGTTCATAAGAAAAGAAATTACATAAAACAAGAATTGGCAAATTTCATTATTGAATATCAGTAATACTATTGGATTTTTCTGAAATACAACAATCAATAATCCAAAGTCCAGAATCTGACATTATTGTCCATTGATCAATTCAAATTCTAAAAAAATATCAGGGTTTTTCTTTTTCACATATACAGTAAAGGTCCACAGATATAGGCCAACAACCAATGTATATTAATCAGATAAAAGTTATGAACAAAATCTTTAAAACAAAGCCAGGGATAATTTAGTTGTTTTTTTTTTCATTTGAATTTATAACTGCTACAGATATCTAAAAGATATTTTCTCACAAATTAAAATCCTCAAGGAAACAAGAAATAATAATAAGATTAAAAAAAAACCTAAATCATAGTGAGACCTCATACTAAAGGGAAATAAGTATACAATAAAAAAAAGTGATTGGTTGATCTCTGTACAACATGAAATCATTTTATTTAATCAGTGATATATATATATGCAATTTGTGCTTTAGTGCTTGAATCACTATCAAAGTGCTTGATATTCAAGACATAATCATAATTATATTAGTGCTTAAATCAAGAAAATCTAATCTGTTGTTATTCCTCATATACAGTTTTGCTTGAAAGTTTACATACTCTTCCAATAAAGACAGAAAAAAAAGATCTGGCAGTAAAATACTGTACATTAAACACACACATATCTATATCTATATCTATCTCTATATATAGATAGATAGATACACACATACATTTTGTTGAGCAACAATTTGAGGCAATCACTAAAATGAGTTTTTATGTAAAATGTTTAGGAAATGTTCAGTCAGATTTCTGCACCTGTTGACAGGTATGTCGCATCCCTGTTTTTTTTTTGTTTTCGTTTTTTTGCCTGAGATAGTTTTTTTTAGAATCATTCGTTTTTGTTAATATTTTCCAATACTAAATTCATATTTAGTTAATTTTTTTCAATTATTACCTTTTTTAGTTTTGAGTTATTTGGATTACAAAGGAATTGTGAATTTATAATGTTCTTTAATGGGAGGGTTTGTAAACTTTCTAGCAGAACTATGTCTTAAAACCAGTAGGCACCAAGTGCTCAAAATACATTTTCCATGTAGTCTTATTCTAAATGAAATGCACCATGCTGTCTTCACATTCTTTAGGCACAGTTAATTTGTAGTTTTGGCAGACTAATTTATAATTCTTTCCATTGTTGTTATCCCAATATTCAGCACCGCAGACTCTGTATTGAATAGTGAACTCCAATTGCGCTCCTGGTCGAAGGGATGGAGGAACAGGCAGGTGGAAACGAAATGTATCACAACTCATTTCTTTTCCTCTTTCTCCTTCATCCCAGGTCTTGGTGACAGTGGATACCCAGGAAGCCTTAGTTTCTGCAGAGTTTCTCCACTCTGTAAATGAATACCGAACTGTAACTTCTTTTCCAAACTCTAAATTTAGGACTTGCGTGATTCCAATAATACCCAGCTCAAAACACAACACCCTCTCTAGGCACACTTTCTGCTCCTGAAGACGCTGCAGAAACCCTGGCTGGTCACCAGGTTGTTGGGAAAAAACTGGCTTTAGGTACGGCAAGTTGATCTCCAGATGCCTTCCATCTGTCATCTCAGCACCCATTAGGAGTCTAAAGGTAACATGCTCAGGCACAAACGGGTCCTCACCAGACTTGAAAACCCTAACATCTTCCAGGTCGAGTCCCAGAGAGTCGACGAACCTCACCCCAATCCCTCTGGTTCGCTTCTTTTTGCTCTCGGAGGCAGAAGGCAGAGATCGTGATCGTTGTCGGATGATGGGCTTTGGGGTGGGCTCGCAGGTGAGGAAGGGGTGGCTTTTCTGTTCATTTGGGCGAGTAACTCTGGGGCCTGGAGGGCGGATCGGGACAGGCTTCCTCATGGAGCTGGGCTTGTCAGCTTCGAGCAATTTGCTCACGTTTATAGTCAAGCAGGGCGTAGAGACACTGCTGGACAATCGCTGTTGAGATTCGGAGGAAAGTATCCTCTCGTTTCCAACGAACCACCCTCTGTCCATTTTCTCAGAGAGCTGTTCTCACCAAGGAGCAGGCCTAGATATACATAAAAATAAGTTTTAAAGCAAAATTAGTTATCAAGTTTCATTATTTTCTTTAAAAAGCGGCTAAATACCCAAGAGGAAGCATTACTTTACAACCATGAAACTTTGGCAAGCTGTTCTACAGCCATTTAATAGGAGTGGGCGTGTCTATTACCACTACGTGCACAAGTGCACAATCCAATGCACGAATAAACAAACCTGCTCCTTACCTCTCCCTGCAAACATATGAAGCCTCAGTTGCATGCAGGCTGTAGAAAGACAGTAGCTGACGTTTGGTCCTCCATATTGTCTAAAAGTGCTGCAGGTTGCTCTCAATCATAATATTTACAAGAATGCTTTCAGTCATAAACCCAGTAACTCACTATAAACACCAGTAGCTTTAATGAAACCGACGTAAACTCGTTAAAAATCAGCTAACGTACGCACAGTGAACAGGAAGCGTACAGTGCGCACATTCACAGGGTGCGCACCATTTATCACCCGGCGCGGAAAATGGTGCAGGTGGGCGTCACTCGAGCAAAGTTTTAAAACGGCGCATCAAAATGCATCTGAGAGAGCCGACAGTAACTCGATGAGCTTTGTTGGTAGTTGGAAATAGCCTTTTGTTTTTTTATATTAATATTTACACGGTTTTCTGTGTTTTAAGACATTAAACAAGGCAGAGGAACCCCTGTTCTTACAATGTTGGGTTTATTATAGCTGCTATTTTTGGGTAAATACATTGTCTAATTTGATTAAATGGGACCTGAAAAAACTAGCTTTGCAATTATACAATTATTTGCATATATGCATATACAATTATGTTTAGGATAGACAGATATATTGACCTATTTATAAGTTATCTCCAATCTGTTATATTCATTACCTTCCCAATAACTGAGATTGCACTGCAAAAAACCATCTAGGAATAGGTTAAAGAATTCTTAAATCAATTGTATTTACCCTTAATTTGAGCGGGTGAATAAGATGATTTGCCAATGGAATAAGTATTTTTTTTACCACTAAAATAAGATAATTAGGTAATATGCACTTGAAATAAGACAAAGCAATTGTTTTTTTCTTATTTTAATTGTAAATTCCCTTGTTCCATTGGCAAAGTGTCCCACTTACCTCCTCAATTCAAGAAAAAATGCACTTAATTTAAGTGCATTAAGTTCATTAACATGGCAGTTACTCTAGGTTAATTGGCATCTCTGAATTGTCCTTAGGTTTGAGTGAGTGCGTGCATGGTGTTATGTCCTTGTGTGTCACTGTGTTGTAACAGACTGGCAACCTGTCCAGGGTGTACCCGGCCCCTCATCCAGACTGCCAGAGAGAGGAACCAGCCCCACTGTGACCCCGGAACCACCGGAACAAGCGGGAGAACAATGGATGGAGGGAGAAAAGAATAGAATGAAAATATCCTATATTTTCCAAAAGCAATGTAATTCATGTGTAGTTTACTAGCTGCAGAGCCAAATGCAAATTGGATGTTGCAAGTACACGCAAGAAAAAGCAATGTGAACAAAAACAAAACAACAACAAAAAAGAATGTGAAGTAAGGGCAAATTGATAACATAACAATTGTATTTTAAATGATAAAAAAATCTTCAAAAACTCTTTAAAGAGGTGCAAACTCCACAGACCAATACAAAAATATCATTTAAACACATAAGCAGCCCTGCTCATAATCAAATAGACCACCAGCCATTTCATTGACTGTTGTAGCACAACCTGCACTGTGTGTAAATGCGTACTATTTGCTATATTTCCATGTACGTATTTTCTTCAGATGATCTTTATCTCTCCTACAAATTTTAAATATCTTTATGGTTGTTGTTTCATTCTCAGGGGGGATGGAAAGGGTATTATCCTATTTGAGAGGATTTCTCTTAGGATGATTATTTTTCTTTTTCTATAAATGTTTTAATATTCTCTCTGTTTCTTTTATGTTTCAGTTTCCGAGCTGGCTGTCTAAACAAAGTATTGTTATATTATTATGAAAGCTTTTGGTTTTTTATTCTTAAACTGTATGCAAATCATGTTAAATAAAAATAAAAAACACCAACAAACTAGTTACACTAATATAAACTATGCAAAATCAGCATGGTTATAAACAGTTATTGAGTTTGTGACAGCAGGTAGGAAGTAATCTGTTAAAGCTTATTTGTTCGTTATGGATGCAAGGATCTCTACTAAGATCTGTACTAATCCTTACTTGGGTGTCAAAATGTTAATATATATGATTTATTGCTGCAAATTTAAGTTGTAAGTGGATAATCGGTCATGAAATAATAAAAATAATTAGAGGAAACACTAATCAGGCCGCCTCGTGTTTAATTTCAGCCGGATTATCCGCCGGGTGACTATAAAGAAACAGACCTAGTGATGTTGACTGGGTGATTGAGTACTTTAAGGATGTATATTACGTATTTTGCTTATTTTTCTCATCCTATATCCGTGTTTTTGACTATGAAAGCACCGTCACACATCAACTGATCCAATATGATAATTAAAAATACCTTAAACGGCGTTTTTGATTGATTTAAATCGCGATAACTAAAGCTAATACTTCAAGTCCCATGATGCTTTGCGGCGGCTCTCTTCGCTAAAGGCAGCGAGCCAGTCAGCAGCAGGTAAACAAACCAATCTGACAGAGAGAGAAAGCGTCTGCGCTCCTATGCCTTGTTGCGTTTTTAACAATGAAAATGTTGACCACAGAAATTGATATGATTTTTTCTTGACAGTGGTTCATCAAATGTAAAAAAGCAGGATTGATCTGCGACTTTAAGTGGAACACCAAAGCTGTAGTTCGTGTCTTAAACCTGCGGCAGACGAGGAGAGGCTGGTGTCTTCGCATGATGCATTGCAGCACCTCGGCGAAAATGGGTGATTTTAGCCTTATTCTCAGACCAGGCTGTCTGATTAGAGATGTCGGCTGGCTTCTTTAGCCACGGTGTAAGATTAGATCCGTGCTGGACTCCAAACGCAGCGTCCCATGTGGTGCAACATGGGCCCCATCATGCAGGAGCGCACGGCTTCCACTACACTGAAGCGCGTCGTTTCCAAGGAGAAGATACGAGTAAAGAATACGGAGAACAACGGCTCATTTAGCAGGTAGGCCCTGTTCTTTATACTCCTGCGATTCATGAATGCTGGATGACATTATTGTCTCTGATTACAGCTCAAAGAAATGTAACAAGACCACGAAGGCTGTGAGCCAAATGAAAAATGGTCTCCCAGGACCAGATCAGGATAAGGACAAAACACTCTCACAAAGGGTATGTTTCTGACTCATTGCTTATTTGCACTATTTAGGTTATTGCAGGTACTATATTTACTATACCAGCATTTACAATGAAATCCATTAGGGTTGCAACTAAGGATTATTTTGCAAATCAATTAATCTTAGAATAGAATAGAATAGAATAGAATAGAATAGAATAGAATAGAATAGAAAATCCTTTTATTGTCCCACAATGGGGAAATTCTGGTGTTTACAGCAGCAAAAAGATTATAGAAGAAAAGGTTGACACAAATGTGGACCTTAGAAAAGTGTATAAGAATAATATAATAGTGAAGAGGTAAAAAAATAAAAAATAAGATACAGTACTATAAAGTGTTTTAACAATATGCACCTGGAGGATAAATAACTGATATACAGCTAAGGACTTTTTCACAATAATGGCTATTTGAAAATAGCAGCCACATCAGAGGTGTGCAAAATGTAAGTGATGTTATTTAATATAGCAACTTAGTAACTAAGTAGAGGTGGTTATACAGTCTTACAGCTGCTGCGAGGAAGGATCTGTGATAGCGCTCCCTGGTGCATTTAGGGTGCAGCAGACTGTCACTGAAGGAGCTCTCCAGTTTTACAACAGCTTCATGCATGGGGTGGGAAACATTATTCTACAGAGTGGTGAATTTAGTTTGGATCCTTTTGTTTCCCTCCTCCTGCACTGAGTGCAGTGGGCATCCAATCCCAAAGCTCTCCGTCCTGATCAGCTTATCCAGCTTTTTGATGTATTGATTAATAATCGGATAGTAAAAGGTAAAAGGAGATTTTTTTTTTACAAAAGTAAACCAGGTGAAACTTAAACTTTGACAATTAAGGAGTCCTGGATAGAGCATATTGACAGACAATTATTATTTTTTTTTTTTTATCTCAAGTGCGAAATTTTTATATATATATATATATATATATATTTTTTTTTTTACAATTTTGTTATAATTACTGCTCTAAGTGGGCTGTCATGTTTTACAGTCTCTATACTCCAGGTAACGATTAATCGATTACTAATAATTAGAGTATTTCAATAATTATTAATCCAATTAATTGTTTCAGCCTTAGAGTCCATATGATGCTGTACTATCTGCCCCAGATTAGACTGTTCAAAGGTTTTCTGGATAACGGCACAATATTGATGGTAAATGGTAAATGGCATGTACTTATATAGCGCCCTTATTCAAGTTAGGAGACTTGACCAAAGCGCTTTACACTACATTCATTCACCCATTCACACACACACTGATGGTGGCAAGCTACATTGTAGCCACAGCTGCCCTGGGGACAATGCAGGTGAAGTGTCTTGCCCAAGGACACAACGACAATGAAAGTCGGAGTCGGGGCTTGAACCGTCAACCCTCCGATTACAGGGCAAACTCCTACATCCAACGCCACTGTCGCCCTACTGATGGCCTTTATGGTTTAAATTCAGCACAACACTGGGTAAAAAGAAAGATCCATATGGTTTAAAGTGTTGCAAACTGATAATCTTAAATCCTATTTGAGGCCCTCCTAAGAGCTATAAAGGGTGTCAAGCTGGTTTTGCTGTGAAGCATCATACTAAGTCACACAGATGATGCATAATCAACCTACTTTTGTAGCCCACAAATAAATAGTGGTTGGATAGTACATATTGTGGTTGTAAGAATGTAACCTTTATGTGGTTTCTAATTTTACAACCACAAAAATAAATGTATAAAGTGTCCGTGAAGCACAATAAAGAGGATATGTGTTTGTCACATTTCAAAATAAAATTCTAAAGAGTGGCCTGCATTTGTATTCAGTCTGTACTTTCTAGTACTATCTTTTGCTGCATTTTGTTGGGGTTATATCTCTACACATCTTTGCCCATTTATATCCTGACATACTTGCTATTCATCTGTATTATTATCCATTGCCTCAGTTAAGGTCTGCATCCTTCCTTTTGTAGGCGAGCAGTTTAGCAATACCAGATTGAGGGATGATGGAGTGATCAGTGCAATGAAGAACATTTTATACTGTTACACATGGGTTTTATCTCAAAGCGTCCAAATTAAGTAGGTTTCATAAATATGTATGCCACACTTTTCAGATTACTATAAAAAAATGAAAACGTAACATTCTTGTGCTACTATTTGATGAACTGTTTATCTGTCACATATAATCAAAATGAAGAATGTTGAACTGTACAATTATAATGTGATAAAATTGAAATAGTTGTTCAGAATAATTTTGACCCTAATGATGATTATGCAGGGTGCTCCGTCTAAAAGTGGCAGGATGAAGTCTAGTGCTTCACAGAACGCCAGCAAGGTCTCAAGGTAAGAACCTGAGGATGTTGTCAATTTTTTCTTAGAGCTTTCTTTCCGGTATAGTAAATCCCTAAATCTTACCAAGACTCTCCCCTCTTAACCCGTCTGTCTGTTCTCAGTCCTGATGAAGATGGATATTCAAGACCTCAACTTCGCAAACAGTCATCTGCACACATGAAAGAGGAAAAGCGAGAAAATCGACGACTGTCGCCTTGCGGTACTGAGCTCCTACCAAATCGTCAAGGGATGGGAAAAAGTCGTCGAGCCCTCTCTCTGCCCATTTCTCCTATATCCGGACTACGCCACTCTCCGTCCAACCCCCTATCACACTCCCCTGCTCCAACCCCAGAAGCACTACAGCAGCAATACAACCAAAAAGAAGAAGACTCTGACAGTGCCAGTGATCTGTCAGATTCGGAGCGACTGCCTGTACTGCCCTCGCCATGTACACCATGCACCCCTCCCCACCTCAATCTTCGGGCAGAGATCATTAACACAGAGGACTTCCTCCCAGACTTGCCCGGGCCACATGGGACGGTTGGGGATGAAGTTGAGAGTGAGAAACCCACCTACAATTACTCAGATTTCTTGCCTCCTCCGTTTAACTGCTGGAGCCTGAGGCAGCTGGCGGTGTTCCTTCACACAGATGGTCGTGGCGCCCCCCGGCCCAAACCTGTGGGGCCGTTAGAAAAGTACTTGGAAAGGCTGCTGCAGCTAGAGTGGCTTCAAATCCAAACGGTGCAAGCAGAGAGCAGCCGCCCCCCAGGGGGTCGCACAAGGCCGCAGAGTTTCCCCTCTTTCGCGGCCGCGCCCTCTGCCAGGCCTCACACAGCCCCTTCTTCCCGACTCAACTCCCCCAAAGGGCTACGGCAAAGTTCTCGAGCCTTCCCATACACACCTGTCAGCAACCTGCCGTCACCTGCCTCAGCTCAACATCAGCTCTCCCGATTCCCAGTTTGTCCACACTGTCACATCCGCTACCCACTCTGCAATGGGAGTTGCTCTGCCTACGCCTATCAGCGCCACTCACGGCTCAGTCCATTGCTTGAGCGCAGGGGACAACCAGGAGGTGCAGCTAAGAGAAGCAGCAGCGAGACTCGGGCCGCCTCCAATGAAGGTAGGAGCCCTGGGGCGCAAGGTGGAGGAGCCCGAACGCCAGTCAGCCCCCCAGCTGGGAGGAGTCATCTCAGGCACATGCAGGCTGCAGGCAATGCCCGGAAGCAACAACAGGAAGCCAGCACTGACCAAAGGGGCAAAGGGCAGGTGAGAAAAAGCCGCGTCAGGGCCAACTCTGAGACGGATGTGAAAAAGGAGCCAGGCGGGGTTAAAGGTGGAGCTGCTGAGAAACGGGGACATGCTGGAAGCAAGAGGGAGCTCATCTCCTCCAAGAGAGATGAGAGGGACTGCCAGAGGGGAGAGGCGGGAAATCAGGCCTCTAAAACTGCCACGAAAAGAGCTGCTAAAGATCCATCAAGTCTCTCTAAAACTCCACCTAGCAGCCACAGCATTCCTAAAAATGGAAAAACAAAAAATGTGCACTTTGTTGCTAAGTAACCCATTTAAGCCTGAAATATAGTGCTTTAGTTAGTGGTTACTTGGTGATTTCAAAACCTATGCTTGCTCTGTGTAAAATCTGTGTAAAACTATCATGCTCTAGCTCCTATACAGCAAGATAAACAGCCTATAATAAACGGTAGACATGGTCCATCATTCAGAAACTAGTAGATGAATAGGATAATATAGGTGCATCCTGATCTTAAAATTTTCAAAAACCCACAAAAGTATATTCTGTAGATCAATACCACAAATATATAAACACATATATTCCTGTGTCTGATGGGGTTTTAAGGAAGCCCAGTCTCTTTACTAGCAGCCTTCAGCTCATCTGCTTTAATTGATGTGCTTTGGGCAACTTTTACATTTTTTCCTCCTGATTAGTTTTCCAAAGACAGCACTCTCTAAACAGCCAGCTTTGTTAGCAGTTACCTCTTGTGGCTTCCCTGCCCTGTGAAGGTGCTCCATGACTCTCGGCTGGACATCTGTCCAGTAAGTGAACTTTCCCATAGTTGTGTAGTCCAAATCTATGCTCACATTTCTTTAAAAAAATACACATATACCTGCAATATTCAGGTATTATAGGAAACTACATTTGAGCTGTTGTTAACTGTAGGGTAGAATCATCAAAAAAGAAAAGCTTGAAATATTTTACATTGTCTTAAATCGATATGATTTTCACTTATTTGATCAATTTACTTAAATAAAAAAAAAAGCTTTTCAATGATATTCTAATTTATTCAGACCAAATCCTTTTGGTGGCATTTATTTCAAATGTAGAATAATATGCTTAATGTTGAATTCTGCTTACAGGTGCTGGTCATAAAATTAGAATATCATGAAAAAATAGATTGATTTCAGTAATTCCATTTAAAAAGTGAAACTTGTATATTATATTCATACATTACATACAAACTCATATATTTCAGATGTTTATTTTGTTTAATTTTGATGATTACAAATGACAACAAATGAAAATCTCAAATTCATCATATCAGAAAATTAGAATATTACTGAAGACCATTAAAAACAAAGGATTTATAGAAATGTTGGCCAACTGAAAAGTATGAACATGAAAAGTATGAGCATGTACAGCACTCAGTATTTAGTTGGGCCTCCTTTGGCCTGTATTACTGCAGCAATGCGGCGTGGCATGGAGTCGATCAGTCTGTGGCACTGCTCAGGTGTTATGATAGCCCAGGTTGCTCTAATAGTGGCTTTTAGCTCTTCTGAATTGTTGGGTCTGGTGTATTGCATCTTCTTCTTCACAATACCCCATAGATTTTCTATGGGGTTAAGGTCAGGAGAGTTTGCTGGCCAATTAAGAACAGGGATACCATGGTCCTTCAACCAGGTACTGGTGGCTTTGGCACTGTGTGCAGGTGCCAAGTCCTGTTGGAAAATGAAATCTGCATCTCCAAAAAGTTGGTCAGCTGCAGGAAGCATGAAGTGCTCTAAAACTTCCTGGTATGTGGCTGCGTTGACCCTGGACCTCAGAAAACACAATGGACCAACACCAGCAGATGACATGGCACCCCAAACCATCACTGACTGTGGAAACTTTACACTGGACTTCAAGCAACGTGGATGAAGTGCCTCTCTTCTTTTCCTCCAGACTCTGGGACCTTGGTTTCCAAAGGAAATGCAAATTTTACTTTCATCGGAGAACATGACTTTGGACCACTCACCAGCAGTCCAGTCCTGTTTCTCTTTAGCCCAGGCAAGACGCTTCTGACGCTGTCTGTGGTTCAAGAGTGGCTTGACACAAGGAATGCGACAGCAGAAACCCATGTCTTTCATACGTCTGTGTGTGGTGGTTCTTGAAGCACTCACTCCAGCTGCAGTCCACTCTTTGTGAATCTCCCCCACATTTTTGAAGGGGTTTTGTTTCACAATCCTCTCCAGGGTGCGGTTATCTCTCTTGCTTGTACACTTTTTTCGACCACATCTTTTCCTTCCCTTCGCCTCTCTATTAATGTGCTTGGACACTGAGCTCTGTGAACAGCCAGCCTCTTTAGCGATGACCTTTTGTGTCTTGCCCTCCTTGTGCAAGGTGTCGATGGTCGTCTTTTGGACAACTGTCAAGTCAGCAGTCTTCCCCATGATTGTGTAGCCTATAGAACTAGACTGAAAGACCATTTAAAGGCTTTTGCAGGTGGTTTGAGTTAATTAGCTGATTAGAGTGTGGCACCAGGGGCCATCAATTTTGAACCTTTTCACAATATTCTAATTTTCTGATATGATGAATTTGAGATTTTCATTTGTTGTCATTTGTAATCATCAAAATTAAACAAAATAAACATCTGAAATATATGAGTTTGTATGTAATGTATGAATATAATATACAAGTTTCACTTTTTAAATGGAATTACTGAAATCAATCTACTTTTTCATGATATTCTAATTTTATGACCAGCACCTGTAAGGCTTAGATGTAACATGGAGACAGCTGGGATTATACTCTGAATTTTAATGCACTGCACTCTCATCCCTCAGTTCTCTGCTACTGTAAGATAAGAGATTACATGAATGACAGCAGGTATGAGCATCAGTGATGCCTAATGATGTTTAGAACAAGTCACTGCATTTCATTTTTTAAAAATCCAGCAACTTCTGATGTTTGAATTTAATCTTTAATAGTTTTTTTTTATTCTTTCATGACTCTGTCTTTTAACATAAATAGAGGCACTGGATTAAGGTGTGACTTGTTTAAGGCATTGTGCTTCATCCAGTGTGTGTTTTTTTTATTTTTGTTTCTAAGTGCTTTGCATCATTGAACAGCTAGAATTGTAATCTTTTGATGCATTTCAAATGGAGCCGAGCTCGTCTTGTCGTTGAGGGCCATGGATTGTTTGCTACGAATGTAAATGTGTATTTTTCCAGAATTTCTATACCATAGTTATATTTATGGGACATAGTGCTTGACTCTTATTTATTATTGTCATCTACATGTTTACATGGTCACAATCTAGAGAAAATCTTTTTGTGGAAGAGCTGAATGTATCTTCTCTGGCCTCTGCAGTCATCCCAAGAATTTGAATGGAGTTTTGTCATATCATGGCGGGTCGGCTGTAATAATGATGTGCAAATCACCTCCACGTTATGCTGCATACATAACGTTTGTTAAGCATTGTTAATATTATAGTGCTTTATCCATATTTGTAGTTTGATTTAAACGTTCAAAGCACTAAATTAATGTAAATGTGATGTACTCTGACTGCACTCATTAAGTATATATTTATGTTAAATGTCAAAGCCATAGTCAAAGGATCAGGACATGCAAATGGTGTTAAGGTGTACACTATGACGCACGCTGAAAGATTGTGGTATTTTATTTTTTCTCAGTGTTGGATGCAAGTATTTGTAAGGCATAGAAATAAACGTTTTGGACACAACAATACTGATCCTATGGATTTTTATTTATTTATTTATTTTTTAGTATTTGCTTTTATTATTTTAATAGCGAAAAGTAAGCAGGCAAACAAAGTGCAACAACCTGAGCATGACTCTGCCATTCTAACACAAGAATATGCTTCAGTTTAAACCAATCCCCCATAGGTCTGTCTATGTTTTATGGCGTTTGGTCTGGGGGAAGGTCAATCTTTTATGAATTGTAATGTAAATCCCTTTGTTGTCCCACAATTTGGAATTTCACTCTGCATTTGACCAATCCTCTTGGGGAGCAGTGGGCTGCCATTGTGTGGCACCCGGAGGGCAGTGTAGGGTTAAAGGTCTTGCTCAGGAACCCAGAGTGCAGGCCGTGGGGATCGAACCGGGTACATGGAACCTTCTCAGAGCCCAAGCTACTGCTTTAACCACTAGGCCAACACTCTCCAGAGTGTTACCAGCTGAAAGCTGAGGAAAAGCATCCACACAGCATTAAGGTTCCACTACCTGTTTTCTCCTTAAGTATAGTTCGTTAAGGGTGAAATGCCATGTTTTAACTATACATTACACGTAACACACATATTATAAATATGGTCACCTCTAACCAACTATCTGATGTCTCCCCCTATACTGCAAACTATGAGTAAAAGCTGGACAGCAAAAACTTTGTAGCAGCAGTTTTAATTTTATTGTGTAAATTAAATCCATATAGTTGTTGTTGATACAAATCCACTGTACATTATCAAAAGCATCATGCAACTTTGATTAAACTCAATTTGTTTTATTTTCTGGCAGGTTCAGGTGTTGGGGATTGTGGAAGTGCTGCATAGGGGTGGGAGGTTTAGTTCCTCACCCACATGTTGTTACAAACCAACATGGAACAGCGTCCTTGCACAACCTCTCCATTACCCAAGGACGGGGTGGGGGGGTCAAGAAGTGAAAAAGTTTGAAGACCCTGTGTTAAATTTGATAGCTCTCTTTCAGTAATTCTTTCAGCAATTGTCAGATTGGGGGAGCGAAGGTCTTGTCAAGAAAAGTGGATCTCTGCAGCTCCTCCAAAGTTACAGTTGATGCTACCCCTGCCGTGTCTTCCTTGTTTGCAGTTTTGTTATATTATTTCCAGATGATGGACTGCAAAGTGAGCTGATATATGCGAACCTTGACACGCTGTTTCATCTTCTAACTCTCATCTAAACTTCACTTCTTAATTTCTGACCTGCATGCTGAGATTAAAATGGACACCAGTTGATTCTAAAGGGAAGTATTTGCTCTAGATTTAATTAAGGGGGCTAGAAATGAAGGAGGATTTAATATAAAATTGCACTATGTTACACCTTTTTACACCTATTTTTTAACATAAAATACAGGACGACATTTTTGTCTGTCACCCACCCTTCTTATTGTACGTTCAGAACTGATCTAAAATTGAAATCATGCTTCTACACATTTAAGGAAGCTGAACATCTGTTACCCGTTAGAACTGTAAAAAAAAAAAGGGCAACGAAAAAAGTTGCAAAAGCATGTTAAAAATCCCAGCCATTATTACACCTTCTTCTGAAATGGTAATGGTTTAAAAAGACGGCCAAGCTGCTTTTCCCTGTCATTCGCACATCCTGGAATGAAGAGCAGAAAAAAATACAGACGGTTATTATTATTTTAGTGATTTGGACTATTAAACAAACCCCTGTTAACAGAACGCTTATACATATACATCCATAACATAGCATTCAATTCAATGTTAAGTTACCCAAGTATGTGTTGGTATAGAAGCATGAACTGTCAAATGTTTCTAGGCCAACATCCTCTCTATAGACAGGCCCATTGTTCCGCATGAGATAGTAGCCTCCCACTCTTTTCTCCTTGCCTGTCAGCCTTATGATAAGATACAATCTCTTAGTGCTTGTCATCATCTATACAGACTTTATCTTGAAGTCCGATTATATACTAGTCCATCCTTAGCTTTATAATCATAGCTTGCAATTCTTTTATACTGAATGAAAACTAATATTTTCAAAGTCTGCATTGAATGAAAATACAGAGAGCTCTAACAATTTATCAAAGTGAAAATGAATCATTTTACCTTCCCTCCGTATCAATAATGTTCAGAGTGTCCTCCAGCAGTCTGTACTTCATCTCATAATCCTCCTGATTGCTGGGCAGGTATGATGGCGATGCATTCACCTCAATTAACCACCTGTGAAGAGATGGAGGATGGCATTCAGCAAACATTTACAGGTGCTGGTCATAAAATTAGAATATCATGAAAAAGTAGATTGATTTCAGTAATTCCATTTAAAAAGTGAAACTTGTATATTATATTCATACATTACACACAAACTCATATATTTCAGATGTTTATTTTGTTTAATTTTGATGATTACAAATGACAACAAATGAAAATCTCAAATTCATCATATCAGAAAATTAGAATATTGTGAAAAGGTTCAAAATTGATGGCCCCTGGTGCCACACTCTAATCAGCTAATTAACTCAAACCACCTGCAAAAGCCTTTAAATGGTCTTTCAGTCTAGTTCTATAGGCTACACAATCATGGGGAAGACTGCTGACTTGACAGTTGTCCAAAAGACGACCATCGACACCTTGCACAAGGAGGGCAAGACACAAAAGGTCATCGCTAAAGAGGCTGGCTGTTCACAGAGCTCAGTGTCCAAGCACATTAATAGAGAGGCGAAGGGAAGGAAAAGATGTGGTCGAAAAAAGTGTACAAGCAAGAGAGATAACCGCACCCTGGAGAGGATTGTGAAACAAAACCCATTCAAAAATGTGGGGGAGATTCACAAAGAGTGGACTGCAGCTGGAGTGAGTGCTTCAAGAACCACCACACACAGACGTATGAAAGACATGGGTTTCTGCTGTCGCATTCCTTGTGTCAAGCCACTCTTGAACCACAGACAGCGTCAGAAGCGTCTTGCCTGGGCTAAAGAGAAACAGGACTGGACTGCTGGTGAGTGGTCCAAAGTCATGTTCTCTGATGAAAGTAAATTTTGCATTTCCTTTGGAAATCAAGGTCCCAGAGTCTGGAGGAAAAGAAGAGAGGCACTTCATCCACGTTGCTTGAAGTCCAGTGTAAAGTTTCCACAGTCAGTGATGGTTTGGGGTGCCATGTCATCTGCTGGTGTTGGTCCATTGTGTTTTCTGAGGTCCAGGGTCAACGCAGCCACATACCAGGAAGTTTTAGAGCACTTCATGCTTCCTGCAGCTGACCAACTTTTTGGAGATGCAGATTTCATTTTCCAACAGGACTTGGCACCTGCACACAGTGCCAAAGCTACCAGTACCTGGTTGAAGGACCATGGTATCCCTGTTCTTAATTGGCCAGCAAACTCTCCTGACCTTAACCCCATAGAAAATCTATGGGGTATTGTGAAGAAGAAGATGCAATACACCAGACCCAACAATTCAGAAGAGCTAAAAGCCACTATTAGAGCAACCTGGGCTATCATAACACCTGAGCAGTGCCACAGACTGATCGACTCCATGCCACGCCGCATTGCTGCAGTAATACAGGCCAAAGGAGGCCCAACTAAATACTGAGTGCTGTACATGCTCATACTTTTCATGTTCATACTTTTCAGTTGGCCAACATTTCTATAAATCCTTTGTTTTTATTGGTCTTCAGTAATATTCTAATTTTCTGATATGATGAATTTGAGATTTTCATTTGTTGTCATTTGTAATCATCAAAATTAAACAAAATAAACATCTGAAATATATGAGTTTGTATGTAATGTATGAATATAATATACAAGTTTCACTTTTTAAATGGAATTACTGAAATCAATCTACTTTTTCATGATATTCTAATTTTATGACCAGCACCTGTACTTCCCTTTGGAGCCAGAGGGATAGAAAACCCTACATGACAGCTGTTCATATTTATACAGTCCCTCTGTGGATAATTAACTCACCGTAAAAATAATATCATAGCATAGCTATTTTATTTTATTTTAGACAAGTATATCATATTCCATGTTGGTTTATCTGTTGTTTTTTTATTGTGAACAGAGCAGGAGTATTGTAAAACAGGCAAAAGCTCACTCTGGTAGTTTAAATAAACACTGTTTGAGGTTCTGGTCCAGTAGAATGTCATAACCATAGAGCTCAAAACAGTGTTTGTCATTTATAATGACCTTTTGATGTTGAATATGCTATTTGCAACCCTAAATGAGTATAAAACCAGAACAATGAGACACTGGCTTACCTTTAATGCCATATAGCAACATAATGTATTGTTAATTGTTTTTAAAAATGTTGATACCATTTAAACTTCCCAGTAATTTTGTTGGATTACAAACTTGGAACTAGTATATGTCAGATCAACACAATGTTGTGGAGAATGGTAAAATGGATGAAAAAAAACCAGCAAGTTTTTCATTTAAAAAATTAAAATTTTTTACTTTTTTCCTGTGCTGATGGTCAAGCCCCCTTTCATTTATACCATTGGTGTATACAATCTTTATACTAGCTTTAATTGTGGTAATTTTCTCTTTGAAAATAGGTCATAGTTTTGGATGGAGAGCATCGGGGACATGAGTTTTTAAGTGTTGCTGTGGATCCTAAATGAGCTTCAGATGAGGATTCTGACCCGACCACTGAACTCACATTCACATTCAACTGTTACTGCATGAAAAACATATGGCACTTGTTGTTTTTCATCACCAACTAGATTTGTATGAGCAAAGTTTTCAAATATTTAGCCAAAATACTATTTTTAAGCAGTTTACAGTTAGAGATTAGATTACAAACCATAGCTGGATCCCTCATTTACAGTATTTATTTCTCTCTAGTATTAGTATACTATTTACTTTAGAGAGGTTACCAAGCACGATATTGCATGATAAACAACTAATGTCAATTTTTCTTCGGAATATAAATACGGGTAGTTTAAGTACCACTAGAGCACATGTACCACAGTTTATCAACAATTGATTTTAACTTTTGACTAACTTCCCTATAGAACTTAGCCTCTGAAAGTTTTTTATTACTGGATTTTACTCTATTCAGCTGGATTTATCTTTCCATTAACTCACACTGGTGTCCCTGTCACTAAGGGAGGAAAGCCTCCACACAGCATGATGCTGCCAACACCATGTTTCACTGTTAGTTCACTTCCACATGATATTTAGCAGTAAAAAATACTTTTGCAATGTATTGTACAATTTATTTTTACTATACATACCTTTTCTGGATCGTAGTCAGACGCAGTCTTTTGAACAGACACGTTAGTGAGGTGCATGTCTGAAAAGCAACACTAAGGAGAACAGAAATCTGAAGGAAGAGGAATCTGACGAATTGGATTACACTGAACCATTTCATCCCAATCTTTGCAGGGGAGTTTCAAACACGCATGAAGGGATGCACTTATCGTCAATGCTGCTGAGGGAAAAAGTGCTTGAGATGCGAGCAAAACCATCTCTGTATAACCATGCTCTTAAAGGAACGTACTGAAATAAAAGGACAATATGCAGATATAATGATGCAGAAATGTAGACATGGTAAATAATACCAAATGCTTAAAGGCTTAAGCATGGACAGGACATAAACTCTCAGATCAAATTTCCTGCCTGTCCTAATGAAAAACATCAGGTTTTACAACACATGGACATAGGATTATGTGATATCTTATATACAGTACAGCATACTATTTTTATTATTCCAGCTCATTACCATTAATCAGGTAAGGGTTCTCTATGTATCTCTGTACCATGTACATTTCCAAGTGTGCTGCATCTTTCTGCTCCTCTCTGCGGGAGCTTTCCTGTCGAAAAAACAGGTACAAAAGTCTGATCACACAGATATGGAATTTAAATCCAGATTTTAGCTAACTAATTCCCCAAAGAAGACATTTAAGTGAAAATTAATTACCTTCTCCCAGTCTATAATGTCTTTCAGTTTTCTGAACAGGAAAATCCCTTTGCCATGAGATTTTCCTACCTAAAATCACAACAATGTTTCTTGGATCTTCTAATTAGAGAGTAAAGTATAATTTTTCTTTTCGTGGTCCATTTTAGCTTATTGGCTTCATGATCCAAAAAAGAAAAAAGAAAGGAAAATCTAAATTTTTTCGTCGTTAAAACAACAAAATTTGACAAATAATGATTTCTTACCTCGCAATGGTTGGGAAAGTGATTGATTCTAACATGTTCCTCCATGTTTGTGTGGTCAGAAGTCCAACCCACGTCACACCAGTTGAAGTCCATTCCATCACTGAAATTAGAACAGGACATGAAAAAGAATCCAACTTTTCTTCAAAGCCTTTTTTTTTTAACCTATATCCCTGAACTCACTCTTTTACCACAATAAAATTAGGTCTATTTTGCAGGACATCTTGTATGGTGCTGTGTGGGTCACATAACGAACACAACTTCTTGCAACCCTGAGCAGAAGCAGCAACAGCATCACAGCTCTCAGCAGCTTATTATTAATCACTAACCTTTCCTCACTTTTTCCACTGTTACTTAAAGCTTTCCCTCTAGATGTCTGCAAAGATAAACAAGACTTAATGCAAGCTCACTTTTTTTGTAAAAATAACTTAAGATAAATAAAACCTTGAACTGTTTCTAATTTATTTATGATGCTTTAATAAGACCTGCTTTATTTCTATTCAGAGGGTAATATTCAAGTCTTTCCTGAATTACAATTTAAGGTAGAAATTGGGGGAAAATGTAAATACAGTATCAGCTACTATAAAGGAACATAGTAGCTTAAATAAGAATATTATTTCTTCCCGTGGTGTTGATCACGCTGGAGGACATGCAGCATATGTATCGGTTTACCTATTTATTGCCAATTTATCCCTCAACCGGATTTTTAAAATGAGTTCTGCATTTGATTTCAACAAGTAATTAAAGTTTTATGAGGTATTTTTGGTGTAGGTCAGAATGCAGGGCAGATACGTAAAATCAGTTTCCATTTTCATATCCAGTACTTTCTTCTCTTATTTTGAGAAACAGGCTGGCCATCTTCAAACGGCCAAGTTTTCTATTTTTTTTCCAAGGAGTTTACAGGACTTACTGTTCAACCACAGTTGTAAAATACATCTTAATTATCAGCCCATTTAACAAAATAATTATTCTGAGAGTATTTATAGCATATAAAACCCTCATTTGTATCCCAGGAATTCAATTATTCCACATAGCTCATTAGAAGCGATGGGAAAAATTTCCCTGGCCAGGCTAGGGAAGCATCACACTCTGTTACCCAATCACTTTAACTATGTTGTGAGATTGAGGCTATATGTGATTGCTCATCCACCAGAGAGCACTGTTGCTACAGTCTAAAATGTTTGACCACAATTACTTTAAAAAAAAGAAAGAAAAAAAAGTAATTTTGGTGCCAAATTAATGGAAAGTTGTCAAAACAAATCTGTTGATATGAATGGGTAACAAAACTAGAGGATTAGGGCCACTGTGGGGTGGGGGTGGTTTAACTGATTTTTCGATTTTATTTCAGTTTAGTATGGGGAAAAGTCAGAATTCTTTTTTCTCAGAATTCTGACCTTTTCTCAGAATTCTGACTTTTTTCTCAGAATTATGACTTTAATCTGAGAATTCAAACTTTTTTCTCAGAATTCTGACTTTAATCTCAGAATTCTGACTTTTTTCTTAGAATTCTGACTTTAATCTCAGAATTCTGACTTTTTTTCTCAGAATTCTGACAGATAACAAACATGTTAGCATCAAGCCATAGCCATGTCTGTTTTAGAGACTAGCTCTCCTGTTTTAATGACCTCTTGCTCCTCTATTACAGTTTTTTCTGATTGCTTAAGCACATTTTTTGTAACTATTGGCTATTTTTGCAAAACTCTACACACAAATAAGAAAACCTTTCACCCAATTATCAAAACATTGCAGTTCTCTTGCAAAAGCGAACACAGCTAGATTAACTCCTCACACCTTTGTAAAAATGGTGTTTTCGTATCAAACAGTAAACACAAGCCATCATCTACTAAGCACACAATGTGCCAACTACACACTGATGGTATGAATACAAAACACATCTGGCTTTCTCTTTCTCTGTGTACAGATGTCAATTTGAGGTCATACTTTTGTCATAGTGTCATGTAAACATATAAGGTTCCAAATTTCAAGTATTGCTGTTTATTCACACTCATCAAAACCAAGACAAAGTCAGAACACAAAATAGTAATTTCACAAAAAACAAAAAAAAACAATCAGCCTACATCATGTCGTCTTCCTGGGTCCGGCCACAAAATTTCGTCCACATTGCATGCAATATCCTCCAGTCCAAGGCACCGGGGAAATTATCTCCTTGAATGCCGTATGCAGGCCTGACATGATGCCTGGTCAATATCTCCACATGCCTCCTCCATTGCCTGTAAAAGGGCTACCTGTTGATGAGGATGACGGTCGTACACTTTCCAGCGCCAGGCAGAGAAGAACTCCTCAATGGGATTTAAGAATGGAGAGTATGGAGGCAGGTTGAGTGCCATGAAGAATGGGTGGTCTGTAAACCAGTTGCGGACCAAAGCAGCCCTATGGAAATTAACATTGTCCCATATGATGACATATTGGGTATGCTCTGGTCTCTGAACAGTGAGCATGTCATGTAAGGTGTCCAGGAATGCAATAATGTGTGCAGAGCTGTATGGGCCTATGGTTGCATGATGGGGAACAACACCATTTTGGCTTATAGCTGGTTATGTTATGTATTGGTTATGTCCAATAATGTTCCTGTCACGTCTCCTGGTTTTACTGAGGTTAAAACCAGCTTCATCTACAAAAAGTAGCTCATGTCCCATGGCATCTGCTTCTAGTTCCATCACTCTCTGGACAAGACAAAACAAATGCATCACATCAGGCCCATGCACAGCACTACAGTATGCACTTCCAAATTCAGAACCATTGACACTATAGCTTACCTGCACATAGTCATATCACAGTTGCTTTACATGTTCTGTGTTTCTCTCGAAAGGAACTCTGTAAATTTGTTTCATTCTTATTCTGTGGCGTGCAAGTACACGACTTCATGAAGAAATGCTTATTGCCTATTTTGAAAGATGGTGTCATTATCAATTATTATTATTTATAGTGCTTAGGCTGATTGCAAAGAGAACTAATTATCTAAAACAGTTTTCACATGTGAAAGTGTGCCAGACAGTTGGCAAAATAGTGTTAATGATAGCCATACATGTGTATGATTTTACTAGGAGTGTGTTGGAAATTTGGTAATAGAGTGTTGTGCAGTGAATTGTGCCTACAGTTTTGCAAAATGTGTGGTACAAAATTGCAAACTGAGTGCAATGCAGTGTTTGTGCTTTTAGTTTTGCAAACTCAGTGAGTGGTTTTGCTATACGTATTAATTGTTTTAGAAATTGTGCTACAAGAATCACGATTAGCGCTTAAGCATTCAGAAAAAACTGTAATGAAGGGACCCCTCGGGCACGTAAAAATTTGCCTCATTCCGTCATTTTCCACCATTGTTACTGGCCCTCTTAAACAACTCACATCTTTGTCAGTGAAGCTGAGTGCTCCCACATCTCCACCTTCATTGTGCCCATCTACATTACAGTTTTTTTGGATTGCTTACACACTAAAGTAAAAAATAGCACACTATTAGCAAAACCTTACACTCAAGAAGCAAAACATCAGCCCATATTTGCACAACTATAAGCACATTGTCAACCTCACACTTGTTGCAAAACTCTACACACAGTGATTGGCAAAACACTAAACACACTTAACATACATTACACACAAAAATCTATTATAAAGTCACTTCCTTGCAATACCAAAGCACTGACTGTCAAATTACCACACCTTCCAACCAATTGATTCAACACAGTCATCAGGTGTGCAAACACTTGTTTGCTTAATTGTAGACACACCAATCAGGTGTATTAGCAATATAAAAAGCAGCAGGTGAGTTCATCGGTCTTCAAGCACAATGGAAAGAGTCAGAGAAATAGTAAGACGAGGTGGAGGACGAGGACAAGGATGAGGACGACAAGGAGGAAGAGAAGGACAAGGAGGAAGAGGAGGAAGGGGAGGAAGAGGAATCAACAGAGGAGGAATCAACAGAGGAGGAAGAGATGGAAGCCATGCTGGAGGTAGAGGAAGAGGAAGACAAGAACGTGCTCAAAGAGGAACGAATCTGACAAATGAGGTCCGCGCAACACTGGTTGACCACGTTGTCAACCACGGCCTGATGATGAGGGAGGCTTGACTGAGAGTACAGCCAAATCTAAGCTGATACACAGTGGCAAGTGTGGTAAGAACATTTCGACTGGAAAATAGGTATTGTAAAAATATCATCATATCAAAAACATCTGCACGGTTTCAGCAACTGCTTACAGTACTGTATTCTATGCACTATCAGCACTTCTGTTACCTTTTCCTGTGAAATTACTGTTCTATTGTTTACTGTTTTTGTTTCTACATAGGATTGAGGGTCAGGAACGACGAGGGGGAAGGCCTCCTATGTTCACAGAACAGCAAGAGAGGGAGATAGTAAACATGGTTTTGGCCAACAATGCTATAACCCTCAATCAGCTCCAAGCTAATAATAATAATAATAATAATAATAATACATTTTATTTAACAGCGCCTTTCTTGACACTCAAGGTCACTTTACAAATAATACAAAAAAATAAATAAAAAGAGATGAAAATACAAAATACAGATACAGGAACATAAAAAACAAAAAAACAATCATGGATAGGGAAAAGAGCAGTATATCACAAATAAGCGAGCTGGAACAGATGGGTTTTGAGTCTGGCTTTGAATAAGGGGAGAGAGTCAATACTGCGGAGGTCAGGAGGAAGTGAGTTCCAGAGCTGGGGAGCAGAGCGGCTGAAGGCTCTGCTCCCCATGGTGACAAGTCGAGCTGGGGGTACAGTGAGGTGGATGGAGGAGGAGGATCTAAGGGAGCGGGAGGAGGTGGCAATGTGAAGGAGGTCTGACAGATATGGAGGAGCAAGGTTATGGATGGCTTTGAAAGTATAGAGAAGGATTTTAAATTGAATTCTGAATTGAACTGGGAGCCAATGGAGTTGGTGAAGAACAGGGGAAATATGATGGAAGGAGGGGGTTCTGGTGATGACACGAGCAGCAGAGTTCTGAAGAAGTTGAAGTTTATGGAGAGATTTATGAGGGAGGCCAAAAAGAAGAGAATTGCAATAATCAATACGGGAGGTGATGAGGCTGTGGATAAGGACAGAGGCAGTATGAGTGGTGAGGGAGGAACGGAGACGGTTAATGTTGCGAAGGTGGAAGTATGCAGACCTGAAAACTGGTCAATAATATAAAATAGCTTTATCTGGAACAGATTCCTTTTGTAATGCAAATAGTCAGGTAGAATTTCAACCTCAGCTACATAATATAAATAACTGATCTCCTTTATTAAAGACTAATAAAAACATCAGAATAGCCCATAATGAAAACGACTTGCAGCTCCCACACTGGAAAACAAATCCATTCAGACTTTTGTGCCAAATTTTTGTTTCACAACTTTCTCACTGAGCAGATAAATGATCACTCAAGATCCATATTGTAGGTGTTTTCCTGTATATTATTACATATTTTGCTTTTATATTCAAAATAAATTTTATTCGTAACCACATGGAAGATTAAGCAAAAGAAGATTTGTTAGAGTAAAGTAGGAGAGCTTAAATCACAAACAGATGATGGGAACAAAGCCTTGTTTCTTTTTTCTTCTTCAATAAATCTCACCCTGGAGAGCCTCTAATAAAGAACCAATTATTTTTCAAACTGGCTTCTTTCTGTCCAGAGACATACAACACTTACTTTTGTTACCCTAAAATCCATGTGTTTCAGAGACATGCCCGAGCTTCCAGTGAGAACCCACAGGTGCAGGAGTACATGGAACCTCTACACAGAGAAGCATTTGCTGTGATTCCCATCGCACAGATTTTATGTGATGTACAAAGACAGAGCAGTAGACAATTTTTAAATGCAAAGAATCATGCATGGCTTTCACATTGTTCTACAAAAGAAAGATCTGTAAAGTGTTTTGTGCGTTTCTACGAAATATTGATTCTATACTTTATAAAACCACCTTTTGTTGCATTGCATCTGCAGCTTTTTTTTTTGGGGGGGGGTATATCCATATAAATTTGTACATCTAGGGAATTAAAACATGATTAATCCTCATGCTGACTTTTTCAAGTAATCTCACAGATCTTATCTGGTGTAGAGCCAGAACTTTGACTAGGCCATTATATATGATATATATAATATAAGTGAGTCTAAACCATTTAATTATAGGCCTGGAAGGATGATAAGGATTGTCCTTAATGAAGGTGAATTTCCACCCTTGTCTCAAGTAGCCTACTGTACTTTGCCAACTCCCATGAGTTTTTGTCACTATATAAAATGAAAAACATACATGCAGCATGATGCTGCCAACTCTATATCCAACTTTTAATTATCAAAAGATTCTCCACCTGGCCTGACTAATGCTATTTTCCCCAACTTTTCAGTTTTTCAACACCATGTCTTGGTAAATTTGTTGTTTCATCTTATTTTTACATTTTTAGATTGGTTTTGTACATCCAAACCATTCAAAATTTGTGTATTTATTTTTATAACCAAACACTATCTCATGCTAATTACAATTTCAAATTTTAAGGACATGTAAATGATAGGCGCTTGAGCAGAAAACAATCCAACCTTCTCTCTTGTTTTTCTCTATTTAAACAACTTCCCCTCCTTGAACAGCCAGCTTAATGTGGTGGAGGGGTTTTAGTGTCTGGATGATCCTAAAGGCTATATTGGTATGGGCTCAAATGTTCCGAGTAGGCTCTCCCAAGGTTTACAGGGTCTGGGTGACGTGTCAGACAAAGAGCAGTTGACAAAGCCCCCATGATGAACAAAAAAATTGAGACACATTACATCACCTGGTTCAGCTGAGCCCCTCCCCGTGATTCCATCATTCTGCTGGAGGACTTCAACACCCATGTGGGAAATGAAACTGACACCTGGAAGGGAGTGATCGAGAAATACAGACCCCAGTTCTGAACCCAAGAGGTGTTTTATTAATAAACTTCTGAGCAAGTCACAGATTGTCCCTTAATGAATACCATGTTAAAATAAGGATACCCAACTGCCTCCGGAGGGAAAAGCAGTGCTTTCCTACCCTGTTTTCAGTGGGAGGCGGCAGTTGCTGACCCTGAAAGAGGACGGTGGAAGGAATACTTTCAGGATCTCCTTAATCTTGCTGAAACGCCTTCCATGGTGGATGAAGAGATGGAGTGCTCAGACCCAGATTCGTTCATCGCTCAGGGTGAAGGCACCTTGTTGCTCAAAAAACTCCATGGTGGCAAGACTTTGGGGGTGGATGCAAACTCCCCTGAATATCTTAGAGCTCTGGATTTTGTGAGGATCACTTGGCTGACACCCCTCTTCAAAACTGCGTGGAGGTCCGGGACAGTACCCCTGCATTGGAAGACTGGCATGGTGGTTCTCCTGCATAAGAAAGGGTACAGAAGTTGGTACGCATTGCCAGCATTAGGTTCAGATGTGTTCCAGGTGTTTGTTGGACTCCACCACCGCTGTTCATAACCTTTGTGGACAGAAGTTCTAGATGTAGCCAAACAACGGAGGGGGTCTGGTTTGGGAACCAGAGAATCTCGTCCCTGTTTTTTGCACATGATGTGGTTCTGATGGCTCCCTCCTACCAAGTGTGAAGCTACCGAAATGAGAATCAGCTCCTCCAAGTCCACGGCCATGGTTCTTGACCAGAAAAATGATGGCCTGTCCTGTTCAGTTTGGAGTAGAGTCCCTGCCTAAAGTAGAGGAGTGAAAGCATCTTGGGTCCTGTTCACAAGTGACGGGGGAATAGAGCGGGAGATCGATAGACTGAACGGTGCGACTGCTGTTATCATGCAGACTCTGCACCAGTCTGTCATAGTGAAGAGAGTGCTTAGCAAAAGGGCAAACCTCTTGATGTAGCAATCGCTCTACATTCCTTCCCTCACCTGTGGTCATGAAACCTGGATCATGACCAAAAGACCGAGTTGCCAGATACAAGCAGATCAAATGAACTTTCTCTGCAGGGTGGCTGGGCACTCCCTTAGAGATAGGGTGAGGACCTCAGTTTTTCAGGGGAGACTCAGAGTAGAGCTGCTTCTCCTCCACATTGAAAGGAGTCAGCTGAGGGGGCTCGGAATTCTTTTCCGATGCCCCCTGGATGCCTTCCTTGGCAGGCGTTACAGGCACGTCACAACGGGAGGAGGTCCAGGGGAGAACCCAGGTCCGCTGAGAGACTATCCAGTCTTATCCCAGCATTCAGGCTTACCCCAGCAGAGCTGGAGGTGTCTGCAATGATGGAAGTCTGGTAGTCTGCCACTTTATCCAGGACTGCTGCATTCCTGGATAAAGTGGGAGATAAGTACGAGCCAAGTTAACTTCGGAATGAGCCTAAGTCAAGCTTCTCCTCTTAATGCATGCATGCTGTCTTCCATGGTTTTCTGGGGCACTGATAACAAATACCAAATTTTTCTGATGTATTCTTTTTTGTTAAAGTTACGCA